ATATAAATAATAAATTTTTTAATTTGTATTCTCTAATGTATTATATACATATATGAGGCAATGTAATTGCAAGAGTGAAACTATGCGGCTTTAATTAATATGTCTTTTTATAAAATAGAGATGTAATACATTCTTGAGTGAACAACTATTACGACTTGCCCCATTACCCTAATGATACCTAAGGAAAAGGACCCTATCTTAAGCCAGCACGAATCTAATGTGTGACTTAGGGCAGGAGTACCAGAAAAAGCTTCTGTATGAATGAAGAGTGGTTCAAATAAAGTTCATCATTTTCTATCAACTCCCCTATTTTCTATCCTCTTAACTCACTCTTCAATCTTCATAATTTTATAAATTCCTTCTTAACCATAAATTTTGAATTTTTACAATATAAACTTAATACTAAAATGACATACTGTGAACGATACTTATTAAATCAAATCCAATAAAGTGTGTGCTGGTCTGAGCCAGAGACGAAGATTATGAATAATAATAGGACTTTGGTTATTTGTACAGAGCAAATTGTTGGGGGCTTGCCCAAAAAAATCAATAATAATTGTATATTGATAATGGTTTGTATAATTTTTCAAAATAATCAATTTTATTGTTGTTGTAATCCAAAATAGTTTTCTAAAATGCAGCTTCCTCTTTATTAAAATAATGTCCTCAAGTCTATGCCTGATTGATTAACAAATTCTCCTTTTAAGATTAGAGCACCTTAAGATTAAAATTTTAGCTACTGCGAAATTAAAAGGATAGTAAAGTAAGATGTGGCTAAAATTAGTGAAAAATTGTTTACCTTTGTCTGAAAGAATGTTGTTTTCAAAGATAAGGGGTGGAAATTATGTTAGAAGAACTTTATATCGATTATCTGAAGGTTGAATTTAGTATCCTGTCTTAACATCCCATAACCAGATAGACTTATGCTCGTGGCCAGATGCTAATGTATTACCTTCAAGGAAGTAACAAACTTATTCTAAGTGACTAATATGAATATTTAATTTGGCTTTTTATATTCCAGTCTTAACATCCCATAAGCGGATAGAGCTATCTCCACTACCAGATGCTAATGTAGTACCATCAGGAGAGAAACAGACTGTATAAACATAACTTGAATGACCATTTAATATGGCTTATTGTTATCCTGTCTTAACATCCCATAAGCGAATAGAGTTATCTTCATTACCAAATGGTTAACCACTACTAGATGCTAATTTATTACCGTCAGGAGAGAAACACACTGAATGAACACAATTACTATGACCATCAAATTTGGCTTTTTATTATCCTGTCTTAACATCCCATAAACAGATTAATCTATTTTAACTACCAGATGCTAATGTAGTACCATCAGGAGAGAAACAAACTGTATAAACATAACTTGAATGACAATCTAATTTGGCATTTTATTCTCCTGTTTTTACATCCCATAAACGAATTGAATAGTCTTAACTACCAGATGCTAATGTACTGCCATCAGGAGAGAAACAGATCTAATTAACATCACTAGTATGACCATCAAATTTTGCTTTTTGTTCTCCTGTTTTTACATCCCATAAACGAATAGAATAGTCTTAACTACCAGATGCTAATGTAATGCCATCAGGAGAGAACCATACTGATTTTACGCAACCTTAATGACCATCTAATTTGCCTTTGTATTATCCTGTCTTGACATCCCATAATCGGATAGATTTATCATAACTACCAGATGCTATTGTAGTACCGTCAGGAGAGAAACAGACTGTATAAACTTAACTTGAATGACCTTCTAATTTTGCTTTTTACAATCCTGTCTTAACATCCCATAAACGAATAGAGTTGTCTTCAATTCCATATGGTTTACCACTACCAGATGCTAATGTAGTGCCATCAGGAGAAAAACAAACTGAATATACATTATTAGTATGACCATCGAAGTTGACTTTCGATTATCCTGTCTTAACATCCCATAAACAGATAGAGTGATCTTCACTTCCAGATGCTAATGTATTACCATCTGAAGAGAAACAAACTGAATATACAGAACCAGCATGACCATCGAATTTAGCTTTCTCTTGTCCTGTTGTAACATCCCATAATCGGATGGATTTATCATAACTACCAGATGCTAATGTATTTCCATCAGAAGAGAAACACACTGATAGAACATAACAAGTATGCCTATCGAATTTGTCTTTTTATTATCCTGTCTTAACATCCCATAAACGGATAGACTTATCTGAACTACCAGATGCTAATGTAGTTCCATCTGGAGAGAAACAAACTGAATGTACATTATCGGTATGACCATCTAATTTGGCTTTTTATTCTCCTGTTTTTACATCCCATAAATGGATAGAATTATTATAACCACAAGATGCTATTGTACTTCCATCAAGAGAAAAACAAATTGATAGAATTCCTCTAGTATGAGTATTTATTATGGCTTTTGATTATCCTGCTTTAAAATCCCAGAAACGTATAGTGCTATCATGACTGCCAGATGCAAAAGAAGTACCATCAGGAGAGAAGCATACAGACATAACTTCTCTAGTATGACCATCAAGTTTCAAATATTACCTTCCTGTTATGGCATCCCATATACGGATAGATTTATCATAACCACCAGACGCTAGCGTTGAGCCATCAGGAGAGAAACAAACTGACATGACATAATGGGTACAAACATCTAATTTGACCTTCTATTTTCCTGTCTTAATATCCCATAAGCGAATAGACTTATCATAACCACAAGACGCTAACATTGCACCATCAGGAGAAAAACAGACTGAATTTACACATGCTGTATGACCTTCTAATTGATTTAACTCATGTATTTTTATATTCTTCCATTTACAATTAAATAATTAAGCACCATTTAAGTTGATTCCACTAATATCTACATTCTCAAATCTAGATCCATTCAAATTGCACCTTACCATATTTGCTCCAATTAAAGAAGTATCTCGAATCTTGATATTCTCAAAGCTCTGTTCTCGTAAATCAACCTTCATCTCTACCAATATATTGAGTGAATTGGATCCACATTAGATGAATCTTTCATCAATGGCTGTCAGACGAACAAGGAATTTCAAAATTTCAATTATCTGCATGTCCCAATGGATTCTTTATATAAAATCCTTTCTAAGTTATTCATTCTCATCTGAAGAGTAATTTTTTTTATTAAAGTCTATTTCACCTATATTTTTTATAACATCAACAATATATGTAAAGTTGGATTGATTTTTATTCATCAAATTTGAAAGATAATCGAAGTAATCTGTTATTATACCTTTCCTGGGCGTTTCTAATATCCCTTTGAGGAATGATTAATCAATATACTTTGCCTAAGTCAATACATCATACAAATCATCGTTCCTTACATAGGTTACTTCATCTTCTTCTTTTTTTACATGTTACACTTCTGTTTTCAAAAGTTGAAATCTATTCACTTCAAGATTGATGGGGTCTTCCAACTTCAGCGAGAAAAATTTATGTGTTGACAATTATTGATGGACTTGTTACTGAAAATATTGTGTTGGCTAAAATTGATGCATTTCTTCTAGAGAGGTAATGGCAACATCAATTTAAAGGTAGGATTTCTTTAAATCTATAAGGGGAATCTTTACTTCAAGTGATTGATTCAAATCTGTAAAACATGTATTAACTAGCTCTTGAAATGCTGAGTGTGCTTGCATTTTTGTCAGAATATAAATATTTAAAATAAGATATGTAAAAATGATTTTCTATTAAAAGAAATTATTGTATAAAATAGTTCTTTGCTAGAAAAAATTATTAAGAAATGAGTAGGATGAGTTCTCCTCAAATACTTACTCTTCTTTTACCTTGGTGGCATAGAGGATGCACCCCCTATGTACACCTGTTGTACAGGTGTGAAAGGAAACAAAAAGTTGTTAAATAATATGATTTAAATTTTCAATTTTAAAGCAATTAATAATTTTAATAAGTAGTTACTTGTAAGACTTTTAGCTCCTCTTGAAAGGACAGGATTTATATATGATATACAAATGACAGAAAAGACTCTTTACCAGCTTGAGATCTATCCTGATTTGTAATCATCTTGAATTAAGACTATTCAATGCATATCAACTTTGTCATCAATCGCATATGTTGTAAAAAAGCAAACAGTATAGATACTTCTTATTTATGCTCAAAGGCTAAGTCCTAGCCTTTATAATATTTTATAGCTGAATCAGCTATTTATTCTAACAATTTTTGGTTATTTATTCAAACTCCAAAGGACCTTGTGACTGAATGAGGGTCTTCAGCAGCTTCACTGGATTTAGTATAGTATAGCTCGTTCTGATTTAATGACATGTTATGTATATTGAGCTTAGCTGTCGTTTACATACAGCATGACCTACTTCCAGGAAAATATGTCCAAAAATTTACCTCAACACATTCATTAAGTTAAGTTTGTTGCTCGTTCTATAATTTATACAGTATTAAGCACATAATCTGACATGAAATGTAGCGCATGTGCTTAATATGCCATTTGCAATGCCTGAGAATTACAAATTGTTCAGTACACACCAAGATGAAAACCCTAACGATAAGGTAAAAAACAGAGATTTTTTGTGAAGGCTATACTTAAACTCTGATAGAAACAAGGATTGGAAATGCAACCAATTTTTCTTTTCTTACAAATGGATGTACTGGAGAAGGAATGTTGTTCCTTTTAGATTTTATTTACATTGGGCATCAGATTTTGGTTGAAGTTAATGATTATGTCATTTCTCAACATATTCTAACGGCCCTACTAATTTCTCTTGCATTTCTGGATCCTATGTATCATCCTTTCATGCTTCTAATTTCAAATACTTCGTAATAAGTACAACTTTGAGAACTTGTTAATATTATATATTAAGGTTTATCCTAGTGCTATCCATACTTCAGTGATGTTGGTTGTGATAAATGCACAAATTTTTCTTGTGTGTCAACTTCAGTATGGACAGTGTTATTTGATCAAAGAAATGAAAATTCTACTTTTGCCTTCAACTCCTCTTGTCATTAATTAGAAATGTTTGGCTAACAAATAAGTCTCTATTTTTTTATAGCAACTCCATGAATTCTGCTGGTGGTATTTCTGTTCAACTTCATTGTGTGTCTATATGTACCTACATGTAATAAGTTAACAATTGTGTTGCTGGCTTGCATCAACTATAGCCAAATTTAATGTGGTACTTGCACACGCATATATCACATACATGTATAGAATTAATTCACTAGCGTAGTTAACTTGCTGAAATTAACATTCTCGCATAACTTGCTTTTAAAAATAGTAACATGATTCTGAGCTTGTGTCTGGATGCAATTTTTTATTACAATCCTACTAGTTCAGCCTCAGCCTTGTGTTTGTTATATCCTACTTCCTCTACAAGTAATTTTGCAAGTTCAGGATAATATTATGCTTCTTTCTAACACTAATAATAATTTTGTTATAACCAATTGTGCTAGAATATGGCACATTATACTTACTAATCTTTATTGTTAGTCAGCGTTCTTGTGTTAATGCGCTTCTTATATGTGTATTTTCTACTTTTCTTAAACCTGGCAACCTTGCATAATGTTATCAGATTTATAAGTACTCTGTGGTGTCCATCATGTGCACTTGCAGATAGATGCTTCAATTTATCAGTAATATTTGAAATTCTTCTTGCCAAAAGCGATAATTGGAAGTTAGTTAACTTGTAGGTCAATCCACTAAGTCAAGTGCTGATACTAGATCTTATAAATGTTTTCTTTAGATTTGCATGTATTTTCTACATTTTAATCAGTTATTGTATAGTTTGAAAAGGCTTGTTATTCTTCTTAAGCATACTAAATAATTAGATTTGATTCAACCAATATAAGACTACCAAATAATTTGATAGTAATCACCAATATTTCTCTCTTCATAAATACTTTTAATTTTTTCTGTGACATAGGTTTCAAATTCTAATTTAATTTAATCAATAACTACTAACAGGTTTCTTGATATTGACAAAAATACCAAAAAATTGAACAAACTATTTTGCTTAAAAGATAAGATAAAGGAGTTCAGGAAAAGGACAACACTGTTAGCCATTTTTCTTATGCATTGCTCAAAAAGTTGTTGATGAAAAATAACTACCAGCTTAGAAATTTTTTTGTAATTTTTTTGGATTATATTTCAATTGAATTATTAAATTTTGTATTCAAGGTTACTGTTTCACATTCTAAATTTTGAAGGAAGGGATAGAATCATGAATAGTAGAAAAGAAATTGAAAATAGTAGCACATCAATTTTTAAAATGCGTGTGTGACAAGATAGGCTTTGGCTTATTTTAAATGTTCGAATTTTTTCATTTTGGAATAAATAAAAGAAGAAATATTCATCATATTTGTTACACTCACAAGAAAAATAAAGTTAAATAAGATTCACCTTTATCTACTGAATAAATTATTCACGCAAAATTTCACTATGAATTGGTTAAATTGGCTGAGAAACTTAACTATTAAATAATTGAATCTTGATAAAAACATTAGATAAAAAAACTAACTAAGATTGCAATGGTTAGAACTTTGAAAGAACAGAATAAAAAAACCATTAGGTCAGTAGGTAATTAATCTAAACTAAAATGCTAAGTGACCCTAAATTACCATAAATTTTGATCAATGCTTCACCATCAAAAAAGTTATATAATCTTTAAATTTTAAAGAAAAAATCTGAAGTATAATTGAATAAGAGTTTTGAGTACTCTATTCTTGATTTTACATCTGCTGAGGCAAGCGATTGGGCTATAACTTGACAAATGATAGACTTTTTGCAAATCTCTTTAAAAAAAATTATTAAGAAAAACATGGTTTCTAAATAGTTTAAGAATATCATTGCGATAATATCTTCGCATAATTGTTAAATTATTATCATTTTTAAGTTACTTACTTGCATTAATGATTTATTATTCATTTATAGCATCTAAAATTTTGAAATCACTTCTTAAGTTGAATAAGTTTTAATCCTTTTTTGTCATATTCTAACTAGAAGCTGAAATCATCCATTTTTTAGATGGGAACGCCAAGAATTTCAAAAACCAGTCAATATTGTTAAATTTCTGATTATTGAATCTTTGTTATTTGTAAAAGCCATCAATAAATTAACTATAATAGTATAAAAGCTAAATAGTTTGCTTGCTATATTAATTTTGTAAATTTTCTATCCAGTATAATAACTCTTTAGAGAGTAATATTAGAAGTTATAATTTTAACTAATCTAAATCAAGGTTCATTCTCCAATCATATTTATAAGTATTTAATAGCACTCGAAATAACAATAAGAAAACTTAATACAATATATATTTGATTAATACCTAGCGATAATCATCTACATTTAAGTTGTCTTTAGGCAATAATTCTCCTAACTATAATTACTTGTTGTTTAATAATAAAGAGAATGCATATTAAATTAATATAAAAATAGCCAGCAAATATCAAAACTTTAAAGATTAGCTATATCATGTTAGAGAAATACTCACATTAAGTAGATTAAAAAATAATAATAACACTACCAAAATAATTTGATTTTACAACTATTCAAACACAAGCGGTACTAATAAAATAAGGCACCATCGAAAATTAAATAGAAAGTAACTTTTAAAATTAACTTAACTACTTCAAAATATGAAGAATTGCATAATTTAATAATAATAAAATGTTAATGAAAATACATATAAATAATAATTAGTCAAGTATTTTTTTGTTTAATTTTAAAATGCATTTTATAGGCAAATAGTAATTGATTGGCTTATTTTGATCAAATAAGATTATAACTGATTATTTAACAAACATCAATTAATTATATATACTGTTAATCCAATTCATATAATTATTATGTGTCAAGAATAATTAATGATTTTTCATCCTTGAACTTTATTGCTTTTTTTAGATGGGAATTGTGTTCTTTAATGCTGCAATTCTTTAATAGAATTCAAATTTCTAATCGGTTTGACTTTTAAGTTCTCATTCTAATTATAGTTTTTTGGAAAAAAATATAATTGACGTATTTTTGAATTTGATTAAGCTTAGAAACCAATAAAATTTCATCTTAAGAAAGTCTCTAAATGAGGTATATTATTTTACTTTAATATGATTTTATTAGAAGAGATATGTGGAAAATTCAAATCTCGATCGGTGTGATTTTAAATAAAATTCTCGACTAGCTAGGCAAGAATAATTGTTTTAATTATGGGCTCATATTGTTAAGAGAAAAGTAATTGCCTTTTAGTACTTACAAAGCAATTCTCAAAGATCAACCAAATTATTATTATCACTAATTTATCAACTTTTACATAAACAAGATTAAATAAAGTAATATATATGTAATGTGCAAGAGGCATGATAGTTAAATTTATTGTCTAAATACCAGAACTATTATTAAGCATATTGTAAAACTCTTATATGTTAATCTAAACATACTGAACTTATTTGTTAATCCTAGTATGTAATTTAGCATTTTTTCAATTCTTATTGATATCATTCAGTTGCAATTATATATTGATTCAATAATAAGTGCAGAAAAAATTAATTCTTCAGTTCTCCGAATGTTGATAGTTTAAGGGATAAACAATTTATATAATGGATTCTTAAAATATTAAATTGTTCATTGTGCACATCTGGTAATTGCAAACAAAGGTTTATCATTACAGACTTGTTTATTCTT